AATGGGTTTTTGAGCTGGAGTTTTGGAAACAGTGGTATCAATTGCACAGCAATGAGACTGTAATAGAAGCCACTGAACACACACTTAAGATGATTAAAATGGAAGTGTCAGGTTCTATAGAGTTGCCAAAATTAAAAAAATTAAAAATAGGGGCTGGGAAGGTGGCACAGTGGTAGAGTGCTTGCCTTGCATGCATGAGGCCCTGGGTTCGATTCCTTAGTACCACATAAGCAGAAAAAGCTGGAAGTGGTGTTGTGGCTCAAGTGGTAGAGTGCTAGCCTTGAGCTGAAGAGCTGAGGGACAGTGCCCAGGCCCAGAGTTCAGGCCCCATGACCAACCAAAGAGAGAGAGAGAGAGAGAGAGAGAGAGAGAGAGAGAGAGAGAGAGAAGCAGTACTAGAACAAAATATAAACCAAAGGAGTTAGGAGCAAACACTCAGAGGGAGGCAGAGTAAGAACAATTTCTTTTTTTTGGGTTTGGTCGTGGGGCCTGAACTCTGGGCCTGGGCGCTGTTCCTCAGCTCTTCAGCTCAAGGCTAGCGCTCTACCACTTGAGCCACAGCGCCACTTCTGGCTTTTTTCTTTTTGTTTATGTGGTGCTGAGGAATTGAACCCAGGGCCTCAGGTATGCAAGGCAAGTGCTCTACCACTGAGCCACCTTCCCAGTTTTTAAAGCCACCTGAAGGGGCCCAAGGGAGACTCTGAGGAGCTGGACAGGCTCAATTTTGCATCTGAGTACTGGTTACTGGTAGATGATGGTTCAAGGTCAGTTTAGGCATAAAAGTTCCCCATATTACAACTTTTCTTTGTGCTGGCACTGGGACTTGAAATCAAGGGCTGGACACTATCCTTTAGCTTTTTGCTTAAGGCTGGCACTCTACCACTTGAGCCATACTTCTGGCTTTTTAGTGGTTAATTGGAGATAAGAGTCTCATGAAGCTGGGTGCTGGTGGATCATGCCCATAATCCTAGCTACTCAGGAGGCTGAGATCTGAGGATCACGGTTCAAAGCCAGCCTGGGCAGGAAAGGCCGTGAGACTTATCTCCAATTAACCACCAGAAAACCAGAAATGGTGTGTGGCTCAAGTGGTAGAGGGCTAGCCTTGAGCTGAAGAACTCAGGTTCAGTGCCCAGGCCCAGCGCTCAAGCCCCATGACCAACAAAAAAGAAAAAAAAGAATAACCCCCCAAACAAACAAACAAAGCAGAAATAGCTCAGAGACAGTATCCAGGTCCTGAGCTCAAACCCCATGGCTGACCAAAAAAAAAAGGTCTTGTGAACTTTCTTTCCTGGGCTGGCATTCAACCATGATCCGGATTACAGGCATGCGCCACCAGTGCTGGGCTGTTGCTTTACAATCTTAATTTCTCCATCTCCCACCATTCGATTTAAAAAAAAATCTGCAATGACTCCTCTGTGGAGTTTCTGTAGTGACTCAGTTTGCTGCCACACTGGGTGGCAATCCTTGCTCATATCTGGCCTTATCAACCTCCTCTTGTTTAGTCTGGTGGCGTGAGCACCAGCCATGGTTTTTGGAGGCATTTGCTGGGATGTGTTTGGTGGTGGTGAAGAGGGTCCTACATACCCAGGGGGCCCTGATGCCAGTCTACCTACCTTGCTGCCACCAGGGGGTGTATAGGTGTCCAGCTGAGCCAACAGCACTTCCCCTGGCACAGCATTTCTTATGCTATGCTGACGTCCCCTCAGAGGCCACCCAGGGCACAGGTGCTGCCCGAGGCACAGATTTCCACCTTGTTTTCCTCACTGAAGGGGTCCCCAGAACCTAGGCAGGAACATATATTTAGGGAGCATTTATTTGGCACTCAGCAATGTGTTAGCAAATAGAATTCTCAGAGACTGCATGAAGTACGTATCGCTTTTCCCACTGGGGAACCCTGGGCACAGACAGCAAAGGAAGTTGCCTGGGTCACATGGTTTGTAAATGGAGGAGTAGTCTTGTGCGTCCAAGCCCTGTACTCCTTCTTGAGGCTGGACAACCCTAGCCACCCTGCAGCCTCTCCTAACCATCACCATGGCAACCCCCAGCAGCTCCTCCCATTGGTCTCCAATTATAGCCACTTTCCTGGTTGTAAAGTCAGCTCTTAGCCCTCACTGCGGTGTGAAGAAGCTGTGGCTGTTCCCAATGTTTTGCCAGGTATCAGGCCCCTACAAGTATTCAACTGTTAAGGCCTAATCAGCCCAAGTCTATCTTTTATTCCGGGTGAATGAGGAGGTGGTTAAGAACACATTTCTGTCTCTTACTAAACAGCACATTTCCAAGGGGTAGAAATGGAATCCTACTTATCTCACGCTATTCCCTGCACACATGGGGTGCTTGCTGAATGTGTGGCATGACTGGATGAATGAACTTGTAGTGCTCTGTACCGTAGAACTGGCTGTGGACTGGGATAGACCTGGGCTTGAGTCCCAAGGTCATTTCCAGACTGTGCTCTTGGGCCACATAATATGTACTTGACTCAGGGCTGGCAAAACATTTTCTTTCAAGGATGGACCATAAATATTATCAGTTTTGCCAGGTGCTGGTGACACATGCCTGTAATCCTAGCTACTCAGGAGGCTGAGGTCTGAGAATCATGGTTCAAAGCTAGCCCGGGCAGGAAGGTCTGTGAGACTCTTATCTTCAGTACTCCACCAGAAAACCAGAAGTGGTGCTGTGGCTCAAGTGGTAGGGTGCTTGCCTTGAGCTGAAGACCTCAGGGAAAGTGTCCAGGTCCAGACAGAGTTCAGGCCCCATGATGGACAAAAAATAAGGTAAAATAAATATTTTCAGCTTTATGGGCTATACAGTCTCTTACATGCAATTTCTTCCACAGCTAGAAAGACACCCAATGGATGCAGCTGTCGTCCCATAAACCTTTATTTACAAAAATAGGTGACAGAAGCCAGTATAGTGGTTCATGCCTATAATCCCAGCTACTTGGGTGGCCAAGATTAAGAGGATAGCAGTTTAAGTTCAGCCTGAGCAAAAAAATTAGCAAGATTTCCCCTTCCCCCATTTCCATAAACTAGATGTAGTGGTATGTGCCCGCATCTCAGATGGAGGTGTGGCAAAGAAGATGGGTGAGATACAGAATAATTGAATGACAGGGGAAAGCAGCCATGAATGTGTAAGGAGGCAATGCTGGGGAGTATTGTAAGGTGAGAAGCAAATACTTCTGGCTTTTTACCAAAGCATGGCAGAATTTGGCCTCTCACTTAAAATGTATGCCTGTTTTTTCCACATTGTAAGTCTAAAGGGATTTGGTGGCACAAAAGGTCCACTAAAGTTGCTGGGAAAATGACAGAGGAGGAAGAGGAAGAAGAGAAGGAGGAGGGCAAATGAAAGCATCATTTATCTGTCACCTTAGAATAGGGCAGCACCATGATTGACGTGGTATGGCTGTCCTCATTGGGTTTAATTTTAAAATTTGACCATGACCATCTCAAAGTCTCAAAGTGCAGAAGTTGCCAAATGCTTACATAACTTGGCCATGGATATAACTGAAACTGTAGCCAAGTTGCAAATATTAAAAAAAAATTCTCTTTGCTATTGGTGTGACAAAGCATTTGAAGATGTTCCTGGTATTTTGTTGTCAATTGTGAGTGTGTGTGTGTGTGTGTTCCAGTATTAGGGCTTTTATTCTCACTTGACTTTTGTTCACTAAAGTCTGGTACGCCACGACTTGAGCCTTTTTTTCCCTTGTTAATTGGAGATAAGAGGCTCAAGAACTTTGCTTCCCTGGCTGGGTTTGAACCTTGATCTTCAGGTCTCAGCCTCCTAAGTAGCTAGGATTATAGGCACGAGCCATCAGTGTCAAGTTTTATCAATTTGTAAAGTGATGGTAAGGACACAGTTATTGGCTAGAAATCCTGAGGTACCAACTGCACTTACCTATAGTTCGTAAAAAGAACAAAACAATGGAGGCTGGTGGCAGGTGGGGGATGTATTTTGTAGGGGCACGGTGTGGTGCACTGTGAGGCTGGAGCTGTTGACACTAGGTTGGGCATCCATTTAGCTTCAGGTTATCTTGAAGCCATAGTGACATGACATTTTCTGCCATTCTTAGCTATGGAAAAGAGGGACCATTAGCTGGTGTGGGAAGTGTTGGATTTCCTTTTTAACTTAGGTGTGGTAGATTTGCATCTTTCAAAGCAAACTGTAGAAATAGTCATTGTCTACAAAGAAGCACTTGGTCAATGAAAATCAAAAGTCCATTTCACTTAAATACAATTTGTAATGTTTGTTATTTTTTGTATGTTTAGAAGGCCATTTTTTTCCAGTCATGGGGCTTGAACTTATGACTGGTCACTGTCTCTGAGCTTCTTTTGCTCAAGGCTACCACTGTACTACTTGAGCCACAGTGCCTCTTACGGCTTTTTCTGTTTATGTGGTACTGTGGAATCGAACCCAGGGCTTCACGTATGCTAGGCAAGCACTGAGCCACTTTCCCAGCTCCGGAAATGTTTTTGAAATTAAATAAACAGTGTTGCACTAAAAGAAAACACCCTGTAACAATACCAACTAAATCCTCTTGGGAAGTAGTATTGTTTAGGGATTGAGAGCAAAGGACTCAGCAATTGGACCGCTGAGGTCCTGATTCTGGTCTGACCGCTTAAGACGTATTGTAACCCAGGGAAAACCGATCTCCGAGATCTTGTCCATCTCTCCAAGGGTTGTTGTGTAGGATTAAATGGTTTTGCACACTCGGATCTCCTGGTATTCCTTTAGAACTTCTAAAACTCCAGGCACAATCCATAAAGATGACAAGTGCGCTTCACTAAATCTGAAAGATCCCCTAGGTAGTTCCAATTCCATCACCAGGTTGGAAATCAGGAGATCAGCTTGATCTTTCACCTCCCCTGAGTCTGGGGAACACCGCCCCGGGACGCTGGGATTTGTAGTCCTCCTGGCCGGCCTCACTCTCGGTTCCTATTGGTTCTCCCGGGTGCCCCACCCTTCCGTCCCACCAATCACCGCGGAGCAGCAGGCCCAGCGCAGGGAGCGGCGGCGCTGCGGTTCAATCTCAGCCGGGCGGGCGCCGGAGGGGTTCTCACGCTCTCGTCGTCCCAGCAGCCGGCGTCACCCGCTCAGGTAACCGCGGGCCGGGAGGGGCGATCGGGGCCCGAGACCCAGGCTCGGGGGTGAGAGGAGGAGATGGAGAGGGCGGGGGAAGATCGGGACCCGGGCTGCGGGCGAGGCGCCAGCTGCCACCACCCTTGGCCTCGCGTGCGGGTTTTTTTTCGCGTTCCCCGACCACTGCTGGACAGGAATCCGAGGATTCCCCGGGGGACGTCCCGCCACCTCCCGGCCCTGAGTGCTGCGGGGTGGTGCCGGCGGGGCGGGCTCTCGCGTCGCGCATGCGTGCTTTGACAAAAGGGGAGAAACTGAGGCACACAAGGAAGCCACGCAGGGCTAAGCGCGTCCGGCCTCCCCCCTCCCCCCCTCCCCGCACTCGGGAGGTGTCGGCCGGGGCCGGCCGGGGCCGGGGCCGCTCTCGGGAGAGTTCAGGCGGCGGTGCTTTCAGAGCGGAGGGGATGGTGGTGGTGGAGGACTGTGGGGCGCACAGCAGAAATACCCCGGGAGTCCCGCCGGGGGTCCGCGGCGCCGGATCTTCCCGAGTTGCGGCGGTGGGAATTCCAGGAACGCGTCCGGCCTGGCCAGCCCGGCGCTGCCCCGCCTCAGGCCGCCCCAGCCTGGCCCCAGCTGGGGGGCTGCTAGGAGGAACTCTGGCTCACGCGCTTTGTCTCCTGGGTGAAAATGGGTGTGCGGGGTTGGAAACTCACCCTGGGGTGTCGAGTGACCGGAATGGGCCAGCTTTCCTTACCCCTAGATCAACAAAGCCAGCTCCCTTTGAGCGTTTCTAAGCTTTAGTTTTTAAGAGTCTTGTTTTCCTAGTCCAGAATGGTCTCGAATTCTCTCCGTCGCCCAGCCTAGCCAGTCACCTGCCTCAGTCTCCTGAGTGCTGGCCTGACAGGCATGTGTCACCATGCCGGGACCTTTGCTGAGTGGAGGTGGAGGGATGGGCTGGAGCTGGTGAGGTGCAGGAGAGGGTTTCACCCATGGAGAAGCCGTGAGGGGAAGATGCGGAGACCACCCTGCTTTTGTAGCTGCAGTGGTGGAGCCTGTGAAGCGGGTGATTTCACGCGGGTGATTTCACGCGGGTGGGGTGGTGGATGGAGTGTGGGTGCTGTCTTCAATAAAGCCCTCGAGGCTGCTTCCAAGGAGCTCTGTGTCTCAGATACTTTGCCGGGTAGAAAAGACAGGGAGCTAGATGCAGTGGTCTCCGGGAGAATGGTGGTGAGTTTTATAGATGGTAGCAGTGGGAGGGAGAGGAGGGGAGGGGGAGAGAGAGAGGGCGAGGGAGGGATGATCTGTTGAGGAAGTAGAACAGACCGTGTCCAGTAATGCCGCCATGTGTTACTTAGAGGTAGGTTTGTCCTCTGAGAGGATATCAGCCTATTCTATTGCTGTGCAAACATCCACAGAGTTTTTTTTTATACTGTTCTAAATGGGACAGGTTCATCCCCATTCACAGCCACTTGATATGTTCAAAACATGTAGTACCCAGAGGCACCAGGCTATTTTACAGTGAGGGTTTGTTGTTGTTTTGGTGCCTGTACTGGGGCTTCAACCCCGGGGCTGAGTGCTGTCCCTTAGCTTTTTCTTTCAAGACTAGATCTCTACCACTTGAGCTCCAGTTCTGCTACTTCTGTCTTATGGATTTGTGTGCCTGGGCTGGTTTCAAACCACTATCCTCATATCTCAGCCTCCTG